ATAGCTGAGAGGAATAATCAGGTTAGGATGATAGCCAGGTCTGGTTAGGAGGGGTAGTTCAGGTGGGGGAGTAACTTGGGTTAAGAGGGAGGTTTAGTCAGGTCAGAGGACTTGTTCTTGTATCAGTGGTTAGTCAGGATGGTTGTGTGGTAGGATCGAGAGAGTATTTGTGTGGTGGTGGGCAGTTGGTGGGATTAGAGGTAGTTGGATTATGGGTGTTAGTCAGTTCATTGCTAGTCAGAGGGTCATGGAGGAAGCCAAGTGGTTGAGGATGTAATAGGAGGGGTAGGAGGGTAGTTACTGGTCATTAGGATTTATTGAGAGTTAATGATGTCAGTTATGGAGTTAACCAAGAATTAGATTAGGTTTTATTCTTCTAATATTTCCTGGGTAACTACCCATGTAAGTAATGCAGAACTACTCAAATTCTCTAACTTTAACTAACTAAGAGTCAAAGACTTACGTACAAGATTGTTATAAAACAATAAACTTCAGATGCTGGAGATCTGAAACAACAATAGAAACTGCTTGTGAAACTCAGCAGGTCTGACAGCATGTGTGAGGAGAAAGCAGACTTAACGTTTCAAATCCAGTGACTCTTCATCAGAACTGATAGCAGCTAGGAAAAGGTTATATTTATGCTGCAGAAGAGGTTGGCTTGGGATAGGGGGGGAATGGATGCAGATAGATATAGACAGAGCCCAGAGAGCGATATGAATGAGATAGGCAGACAATGGAATTATTGATATTAAGCCAGGACAGAAGAGAAGCTGGTTAAGTGATAATGAGAGCTGACAGTAGGCCAGAACGTCCTGGGCTGAAAGCAAGTCATGCATGACAGGTCCAGGGTGTGGGGGTGGGTAAGAAACATAGGACAGAACAGGTTCTAATTCTTAAGTTATTGAACCCAATGTTGAGTCCTAGAGGCTGCAGGGTCCCCAAGTGAAAAATGAGATGCTGTTGTTGGAGCTTCTGCTGGAACCCTGCGGCAGGCCTATGCTAAAAATGCTGACATAGGAACATGGTGGTGTGTTGAAGTGGCATGCAAGTAGAAGCTCAGGATCATTTTTATGAACAAAACACAGGATGTCTGCAAAGCAATCACCCAATCTGCATTTCATCTCCCCAATGCAGAGGAGATGAGCAGTGAATACAGTAGACTTGACGAAATGGAGTGCAAATAAATCGCCGCACCAGCTGGAAAATATGCCTGGGTCCTTGGATAGTGAGGAAGGAGGAAGTAAATGGATAAGTGGTACACTTCCTGTGTTTGCCTAGGAAGGTGCCAATGGAGTGTGGGGATGTGTTGGGAATGGAGGAGGAGTGGATCAAGGTGGCCCAGAGGGAACGGTACCTATGGAATGCTGACAAGGAGGAGAGGGGAATATGTGTCCAGTCATGGCATCCTGCTGGAGGGGACTGAAATGGCAACTTAAGGTTCTTTGCATGCGAAGGCTGGTGGTGTGGTAAATGAGAACTGCATGATCCTATAAAAACCAAGGAAAAACTGAGTTCTGAGGACGGGTCACTCAACCCAAAACGTTAACTCTGATTCTTCTCCATGGATGCTGCCAGACCTGCTGAGCTCTTCCACCAATTCCTGTTTTTGTTTCTGGTGGATACTACTGTGGTTGTGGGAGGGAAGAGAAGGAGTGAGGGCAGAAGTGTGGGAGATGGGTCAAACGCAGCTAAGGTCCCTGTTGAGTGCTAGTGGGGAATCCTCGTGGAGATTTCTGAGACACCCCCCAGCAGAAGCTGGCATCATCAGAACAGATGTGATGAAGAAGGAATAAGTGGGAGAATGGGATAGGGTCCTTACAGGAATCAAGGTGTGAGGATGTATAGACCAGATAACTGCGGAAGTCAGTGGTTAGTAATGGATATCGGTGGCTAGCCCATCCCCAGAAATGGAAATAGAGATGTCAAGAGAGGGAAGGAGGAATTGGAGATGGACAAGGTGAAGTGAGGGCAAGGTGGAAATTGAAAACGAAATTTATCAACTTTTCCAGTTCCAACAAACAGAGGGTAGCAGCACAAGCAATGTCATCAATATACTGGAAAAAATCTTGTGGCGGGGAGCCTGAGTAGAACTAGAACAAGGAATGTTCTACATACCCAATAAAGAGACAGACCCATGTGGATACCCATGGGAAGGAAGATTATTAACTGGTTAGTGGACAAAAATCAGTGAACAGGGACAAATTGCTCATTTTCAGGTTGGCAGGCTATGATTCATGGGGTATTGCATTAATCTCTGGGGTAGTGGAAGGAACTATTCGCAGCACCTAAAAAAAAAAGTTGCAAGACTGTTGGGAAAGTGGACGGGAGTGGTTTATCTGAGTTGAAGAGAGCCAGCATGGCAGGTCAAATAGTCTCCTTCTGTGCTGAAACTTCTGGTTCTATTCCAATTTTTTTCAATAGAGTTAAGGCTTGGGCCTAATCAACTGCTCCCACTCCCTAAAATGTGGGTGAACAGAATGAGCAATTGCCTAGACCAAACACAGCAAAAAGTTCAAATGGCAAAACTTTTAAGACATTAATTTGCACAATATTAAGGTGAAAATAATACATTCAAGATAAACTGTTTTGAGGAGAACTTAACTTGCAAATATGTCTCAGTTGTACATTTTAACAGATAACTGCATACTAAATTGTTAATAAAAAAGTTACAAAATGGATGGTCTGGGATGCAGTTACTTGACTGACATTCAATTTAGCGCTAGTGATTCTCTCCATGTATAGAACATAGAACATAGAACATAGAACAGTACAGCACAGTACAGGCCTTTCAGCCCATAATGTTATGCCAAACTATTATTCTACTCTAATATCAAACTACCTGCATTCCCTACATTTTACTATCATCCATGTGACTATCCAAGAGTTGCTTAAATGTCCCTAATGTATACGACTCCACTACCACCGCTGGCAGCGCATTCCAAGCACCCACCACACTCTGTGTAAAGAACCTACTTCTGACATCTCCCCTATACTTTCCTCCAATCACCTTAAAATTATGCCCTCTTGTAATAGGCATTTCCGGCCTGGGAAAAAGTCTCTGGCTATCCACTCTATCTATGCCTCTCATCGTCTTGTACACCTCTATGAAGTCATCTCTCATCTTTCTTTGATCCAATGAGAAAAGCCCTAGCTCCCTCAACCTTTCCTCATAGGTTCTGCACTCCAGTCCAGGAAGTATCCTGGTAAATCTCCTCTGCACCCTCTCTAAAGTTTCCACATTCTTCTTATAATGAGGCGACCAGAACTGAATACAATATTCCAAGGGTGGGCTAACCAGGGTTTTATAGAGCTGCAGCATAATCTTGCGACTCTTATACTCGATTCCCATGCCAATGAAAGCCAACACACCATACGCCTTCTTTACAACTCTATCAACTTGGGTGGCAACTTTGAGGGATCTTTGGATGTGAACCCCAAGATCCCTCTGTTCCTCCACATTGCCAAGAATCCTGCCACTAACCATGTATTCTGCATTTAAATTCGACCTTCCAAAATGAATCATTTCACACTTTTCCGGGTTAAATTCCATCTGCCACTTCTTTGGCTAGCTCTGCATCCTGTCATTGTCCCGTTGCAACCTACAACAGCCCTTCAAACTATCCACAACTCCACCAACCTTCATGTCATCGGCAAACTTACTAACCCACCCTTCCACTTCCTCATCCAAGTCATTTATAAAGATCACAAAGAGCGGAGGTCCCAGAACAGATCCCTGCGGAACACCACTGGTCACTGAGCTCCAGGCTGAATACTTTCCATCTACTACCATCCTCTGTCTTCTATTGAACAGCCAATTCTGTATCCAGGCAGCCAAATTTCCCTGAATCCCATGCCTCCTTACTTTCTGAATGAGCCTACCATGTGGAACCTTATTGAATGCCTTGCTAAAATCTATATACACCACATCCACTGCTCAACCATCATCAATGTGTTTTGTCATATCCTCAAAGAATTCAAAAAGGCTTGTGAGGCATGACCTGCCCCTCACAAAGCCATGCTGACTATCTCTAATCAAACTATGCTTTTCCAAAAAATCATAAATACACTCTCTCAGAATCTTCTCCAATAATTTGCCCACCACGAAAGTAAGACTGACAGGTCTGTAATTCCCAGGATTATCTCCATTCCCTTTCTTGAACAAGGGAATAACATTTGCCACCCTCCAATCATCTGGTACTACTCCACTGGACAGTGAGGATGCAAAGATCATCGCCAAAGGTGCAGCAATCTCTTCCCTCGCTTACCCTAGAAACCTTGGTTATATACCATCTGGCCTAGGGGACTTATCTATCCTCATGTTTTTCAAAATTTCTAGCACATCTTCCTTCCTAACACCAAGCTGTGAGCCCTAAATTTCTCACAGACTCATCATTTTTCTGTGCCCATTCTGGAGATACACTGGAGTAGACACCACAGGAGTTTCCATAAGAAATAATGGAAAATTTGGTCTAACTCTCATGCATCTTATAGCATAACCGTAGCAGAACAATACTGTGAAAGGTTGAGAAAGGTTCACTGTGCTGCTCTCAACTTTGAAATGTTCGGAGATTTTAGTTGGGAAGGGTAACAAAACAGTAGGAACCAATTTTTAAAAAAATCACAATATGATGTCTAAAAAATTCCTGAGCTCCATCAGAATTTATCCAAAAAATCAACATGGTCCACTAAAATAAAACAAATAACTCAGGATACTGGAGATCTGAAATCAACAAAATTAGAAATTACTGGAGAAACTCAGCAGGTCTGGCAGCATCTGAGGCGAGAGAAACAGAGTTAATGTTTCAAGTTCAGTTTGTTCTGAAGAACAGTCATTGGACTCAAAATGTTAACTCTGTTTCCTCACCACAGATGCTGCCAGATCTGCTGAGTTTCTGCAATTTCTGTTTTCATTTATTACCAATGTAGACCGGTTACTGAATGGCTTGTTTTTGCCTAAGATTGCATAAGTTTAAATAACATATGTAAGTAAAGATACTCACAATTCTGACAAGCCATGACAGTGTGGAAGTAGCTGTAGAATAATGAGTATTGTAATGATAAGGTGGAATTTGATCATCTTCCCATGTCTCATAGCGTTCAGCATAGAAGACAGCACGTTTTGGGTTCAAAGATCCAATAGGCTGAAATATAGATAGCAAGCAATTGATGTTAGCTTTAAACAGTACCTGGAGAAATAAACTGTAGCTTCTCTAAAGTGGATTGTTGCTCATAATTATAGTAATAGATTGCATGGTGATACATTTTCCAAATCATTTTATTCTGTAAGGGAAACAGCAACATTTCTCTATCACTGCAAATGAATAAGGGAAATGTTTTTACATGTATTTAAATAAATTATATTACACTTTTCTTTCTTACTAAATATAATACTAATAATGGCAACTTTCATACTGTTAAGTGTTATTGTTCAGACTAAAAACAGCACCGGCAAAGGCCACTCCAGATGGGTCACAAAGCAGTGATTCAATTTGATTCACCTTGCTTTGTCCAATTGTTTAACAAGCTGCTAACTTGTGGTTTGTGATATGCATTTGCCTCATTGTCATTTAATTTCCAGAATGCTGTATAAACATCAGCTCTTATCAGTTACATAGAAGTCAGAATTGAGAACTGTGAAACTCCTTATTTTAACCACACAACATTGTGTTCAAATATAAAGAAGTGGGTAGGTTAACAACCAATGTAAAAACTTCATCAAAATACTGTCCAAAAATGTGGTATTTCAAAACATACAATGCTTGAAATATTACCCCTATAACACTTAATTGGCATGTTTAGCGTGACTTTTTATCTGCAAGGCCTGGATTATATCGAGTGCTTGACAACTAAATCCTGTGGTGCAGAATTGTTAAACATGTCCATGTTTTACAGTGATGTCATATGAATCAGAAACAACCCATCACATACTATAGACTTTAAGATAAAATATTGAATGGAAAAAAAGCATAGAGTGTTTCAAGACAAAAAGCAGTGTGGAATGGTTTTGTTAAAATTATATCTTAAATACATTTAAGTCACAGATGTAATGATCAAATTAATTTGAACAGAAAAATCTTTATCTTTCCACAAAATAGTTTAAATTTTATGCTACTTATTCTTTTTGGATGCTCCTAAACAGATTACAGCAGATTATACTATCTTCAATGAAATGTTATCTTGCTAATTCTTTTTTTCATTTTTGCTGAATTGCTCTTTGAAGGATTTGTCTATTCTTTCTTATATAATATATACATATATAAAGTTCCCAATGTGTCATGTAAGAAAAATCTACCATAATTCCTATAAAGAGCAATTCAGCAAATATATATTGTACACACACATATGCTTACACACACGATGAGGACATTATGCAGATCTACATTAAAGCCATCTTTTGAGTTATTCATAAACATGTCTTGTCAGCACTCCATCATAGCCATATTTAGTTTCCCCAAATATATCAATGATGCCATTCTCTTCAAAACGGTTAAAATAATTCATTTTTATTCATTTTTGGGATCTGGCTCTCCCTGCCAAATCTGATATTTATTGCTCATCCCTAACTTCCCTACATCACTTCAGTCCCTACGTTGAAGTTGCTTCCATGTTGCTGTTACGGACTGTAGTTGTTGGATATAAATGAATGCCACCTCGGGCATTTAGCTGTTTATTACTATTGGACTGGGTTTGGAACTCTCAATCTGTTATGCTGGGAAGTCAATACTCCCTAGTAATACTTTGGATTATTAGTCCATAGGAAAGTCCTGCAGGGCAGTGGTTACGGTCCCTGCCTCCAAGCCAAAAGCCCCAGGTTCACTCCAGGACTTGACAGTCAACAAAGATACATTCATAACACACCTCTCCTATATATGTTAATGGCAGGATGTCAGCCTGGGAGAGATTCCTGGTCAGTCATATGATGGATGATACAATACAATGATACTGACATTAGCCAGAGAAATGCCTGAAAACTCAATTTGTTTTACAACTGTAGAAATTAATATTTTTTGTGAGAAGTGGGTGCATTCATCTCAGTACATGTGACAATAAAGCCAATTCATTGATTCCATTCAATTCAATTCAATTCAATTCATTCATTCATTTATAGTATGTAGCAGTAAAAATGATAAGGCAGAGTAAGAATAGATAAGGCATAAAACAGTATGGAGCTGGAGAAGCATAGCAGGCTAGGCAGCATCAGAGGAGCAGGAAAGTTGATGTTTCGGGTCGGGACCCTTCTTCAGAAAGGATAGAAAAAGGAGTCCCTGGTCCTAGACTCTCCACAAGGGGAAACAACCTCTCCACATCTACTTTGTCAAATCCACTAAGAACATTGTATGTTTCAATAAGGTCACATCTCATTCTTCTAATCTCTAACTGGTACACGCCCAACCCAGTCAGCTTCTCCTCATAAAACAGTCCCTCCATATCCAGGTTCACCCTAATGAGCCTTCTCTGGACTGCCACTCATACGAATATATCTTTCCTTGGATAAGGGGCCCAAAACTGCTCAAAGTCTTTCAACTTGTATAGTTTTAGCCTTATCCATTTTTAAAATCTATTCCCTTTGAAATGGAGGCCAACATTCCCTATCACCCACTGAACTTGGATGCTAACTTTTTGTGACTTAGACATGAGGACTCCCAAATCCAAGGAGGGGCCATCACAGAAAGATTGCCACTCCTTTCCCCGTTTCTTGCAAAATAAATGTGCTTTGCATTTTTGATAAGAAATTCTGATGAAAGCTTCTTCAGAAATGTGGAGCTATACTTCCATTCTGACAGGTACTCCAGCATAGAACAGTCAGGGGAAAGCAAACTGCAGTCCCTTTTTTCACGGTGGTCAGTTGCCACATTACGTAATTTAAAGATCCAGTATTACATTACAGCACCTTTGACAGGTTCTGTGAAAGAGTAAGTATATAAGTATGAGCTTAGGGTGTTAGAAGTGGGTGCCAAGTGAACAGGGGGTTAGGGTGCCAGGTGGATAGTGGATAAGGTGCCAGAGGATGGTAGGAGGGGTAAGGTGCCAGCTGGGTAGAATGTCAAGTGGAAAAGGAGAAAAGTAACATAGGGTAGCGTGCTGGTAAGTAGAATAGCAGGGATCAAGATGGCAAAGGGGCTATGTAAGAGAAAAAATGTTTAAGATACACAAGGCTCAGAGCAGTGGTTTTTGGTCAGAGACTGGAGGTTGAAGGGATCTGGGGGATTGTAGTTGAGGGTGTATGAGGTAATTTGAGGGGGGGTGTCAGTTGAATAGCTACTCAGGAGTTAGAAACAGAAACAATAAAACAAAATTACTGGAAAAACTGAGTATGTCCGGCAGCATCTACGGAGAGAAAGCAGAGTTAACGTTTCAGTTCCAGTGACCCTTCAGGAGTTAAATTAGGTTTTCAATAGTCTAATTTTCCCTGAGTGAGTAACTATTTGTTCAACTGTAGCAGAACCCTCTGAATTCAGAGATTTAAATCGCTATTTTTGAAGGGTTTCAGGCATATGGGAATTGTCCAGTGAAATCTTCCATTTCTGTGCAATTCCTTCAGATTCTGCTACGATGGAGATTCAGCAGGGTCCACATGTGCAACTCCTATCAACGCTGCAGGAAAAACTATCTGGACATTGGAAAATCCAGACCATTGAAATGAAGACACCTTTCAGAGATGCCAAAAAGTTAATGGATTTGAGATGCTTGTGTATAGGAGTCACTGCTTACATTCCTACTAAGATTATTAATGTTGTCTTTTACATCATATTTTCAACTTAACATTGCTTACTACTGAGAAATTTTGTATGGAAAGGAGTCCAATGTGATTTAAAAATGTAGGTAATTCTTCAATGTAAATCAACCTGCAGTAAATATCTACAAAAACCATCCTAAACATACAAGAATTGCTAGGACTTCTGTCAGTGATAAATTTTGTCTGGAAGCCTGACTGGTTCCAGTTGTCAGTTAAGACATATACCCTTGTGAATCCTTGTAATTGATGTTGATTTGAAATTGTACGTCTGAGTCAGAAGGTGACAGTGGTTTCATTTCCACATGAATGATTCTGTAAGTACCTGGGTTTAGTGACATCTTGCCAGGGGTAGGAGCTGAATTTTTTACACAAGCCTCAAAGAAAAAATGGTTATTTTATGAAATTCAAGTACATTGAGGATCATAGGTGTGTTCTGGCATGATGTAGTAGAGTGCATGCCCTCTCTCAAGAATTATCCATGTCAAAGTAATGTATAAAGCCAAACAGTTACAATAAAACAAAATGTCTATTTATATAATGCCTTCAATGTGGACAGACGTTGATATCCATCCAAAGACAGATGTTAGACAGGTTAACAAAACTTGGTCAAGTAGATAGATTTTAAGAAATATTTATTGAAAATCAAAAGCAGGTGTGGAGGCAAATACATTTGGGGAAGGGATTTTAAACTTCAGAACAAGGCAGCTGAAGACAGATAAAGGCAAAATACTGTGGATGCTGAAGAAGAGACGTTAACTCTGGTTCTCTCCCCACAGATGCTGCCAGACTTGTTGAGTTTCTCCAGCATTCTGTGTTTGTTAGCTAGAGACTGATGTTGGGGGTGAAGGAATGGAAAGTTCTTTGGATGGCTGTTGGGCTGGAGGATAGTGCAAAAGTCAGGGTGTCCACGGCTATAAGGCATTTAAGTAAAAGGATGAGTGTATTAAATTTGAAGTGTTGGCTGGAAGCCAGTAAAATGCATTTTCTTTCCTCGTTGTCTCTGCAATCTGTGGTAGGGTCAACCACTACATCGTCTTCTAAACCTGCTTCTAAATTGTTGGCTTAGTGGCATTACCCTTGATTAACCCCAATCTGATCTGTCATATCATAGTCAGAACATGTACAGGCAATGCTTTTCCTACCAACCTGACTGTTACCACTTGAGCTGCAAGGATCTCCTTTCCTTCTTCATTTACAGGCTGCCCTTTAGTGACTTCATTCAAAGACAAAAGTCTTGTTCACTGTGAAGGTGGTACTAAACTTTGGAAGGTCATAGGCAAGCTGGTGGAATTGGGAGATGAAATTTAAGCAGCAAAATGTGAAATGATTCATTTTGTTAGGAAGAATATGAAGAGGCAATATAAAATAATGGGTGTGATTCTGAAGGGAGCGCAGGAACAGGAG